AACAAATATATTTGAAGAATTAATGAATTTCAACTCATAATAAGAACTTAAGACATTTAGATGAAATAGTTAATTTGTCACTAGATTGGTTAAATAATCAGCTTAGCGATAATTATTTATTTGCAAATCTTGAAAAAAACTAAATTTATACTTTTTCACAATAAAAAGTCTAATAGTAAGGAGGTAAATACATGAATGGAGTAGTGCTTGAAATATAGTCATCAGCAAAGTTTTTGGGTATTACAGTTGATGATAGATTAAACTGATCAAAGCACATAACAATTTGAAATTTTTTTGCAAGAAAGTTAGGTATAGTAAATAACGTAAAGAGTCTAGTTAATAGGAATTGTTTGGTAACTTTATATTATAGTTTTATTTATCCACGTTTAATATATGGAAATACTTTTTGGGGAGGTTCGTCAAAACATAATATAAATCTGTTGTTGCTTTTTCAAAAAAGACTTGTGAGAGTAATTTTGTGTTTAAACTATCGAGATTATTTGTATCAACTATTTCATAAAAATATTAAATATTTATTAGATAAATTAATAATTAGTAGGTAGTTTTATGTTTACGATAAAAAATTTATTAACATATCTAGTCTTTAGCAGTTTTTTAACACTAACAAGAACAATCATAGTCATGATACAAGAATTAATGGTGATTTACATATACCTCTTTTCAAAAAATTAATAGGTCACTGTTCAGTAACTTGTGTAGAGGTACAAACTTGGAATGCTATACCTAATAATGTGAGAGAAATGAACTCATTAAAAAAGTTATGTTTCAGATATCATTTATTAGATGTATTATTTACTTGGTTCTTTTCATATTTAATTTATAGAATTATGACACTATTGTCAGTTAGTAGTATCTAATATATAACATGCCGTCATTTCTTATTTATATAGATGTTTCTTTTATTTTAATTAATAATTCTTCTCTCCTGTTAAAGGGGATACACTTGTATAAGCGTTCTCTTTATTTATTTATTTGTTTTTTTTTACTTTTCTGTGTCTACTTTTTCTAGAAACATTAATAATTATTTGAATTATATGGTATTATCTAGAATAAAACTAAATTTAGTATAGGTACAACACAAACAAAGTTGATATACATAATTAGGGGAAACGAAATGTGAGGATAGCATTTCGTATTATATATATATATAAATATATTTATAGAAAAGAGAACACCATAGGAAAAATATACAGTTTAGTTTTAAGACTTTCCGTACTTAAAAGAAAACTCGAATAGCTTCATGCATAGATTTTCACTTACAAAATCCTCACAGATATTCAGACAATGAATAAAATATATTAACAAAATCCCAACTTCTAATATAAATTGACTTTTCTAATATTTTTGAGATTATACATACGTATGGAAAACTAAATAAAACATACTTAAAACAGAGATAGTAAATCAATATGCACTTGATTCAAACATTTTGGCTAGTGTAAGTTGTGGTAAGATTTCAGTAGAAATTATATACTGTTGAACGATAGTCAAATCCAGTAGCTGAAACATACAATGCATGTGAGAAAGATTACGTACACACATGAAGAGAAAACCATGGGATGATATAGAAGAGGATTTTAAAGCTTTGGTCTCTCTCTCTCTCTTTATATATATATGCATACTAGTTGAATTACTCTTTCAATAGAGGTAGATCCAAATGCCAACCCACCTATGTCACTCTCGGGGGTATATGCCACATTTGGTGACAATCGATTTGGCGGATCACGAGATATAATCAGAAACACACATAAACACAGAATTTTTTACAATAATGATTTAGATATCTATGCACCTACCTGTCCACTTAGCCAATAAAGAAACGCGCTTTTAAACAGTAAAGCTTGCATTAACCAATATTATGATATTTCTGTTTTCTGTAATGAAGAAACATCATTTTCTAGTCAACGGATTTTAAATTATAAAATTTTCATTGTGCGGATCCTCAATTAAAATATGATCCTTCTTTAGATATTAAATTATACACTTTTCAATTTTTAGAAACTAAAAGTACGTATTTGAGAATATCTTGGACACACAGTTCAAGTAAGGAGTGACAATGTCCTAAAAATGTTTTTATGTTATATAACTATCTTTAACTAGGTTTTTCTGAGAATTAAATAAAGATGTGTCCAACTTTTAATTTTAGATTTCAGACATTTTCTTCTCTAAATGATAAATTAGTATTTTTCTCATCAATTCAAAAAAATTTAGGCACAAATTTGTCAATCTTGATGTTGTGAATAAAATGCTAGATATTCTGAATGCGGTGAAGCATCGAAAAAGTATATATTAAATTAACTACAGTCTAGTAGAGAAGTTTCTAAATACTAAACAAGATGATGACTGCTGTGTTTAATGTGTTGATATATATATATATCAGAATAATTTATAAGGTTACTGACGTTCCTTCTATAAGAATATTTCATAAGATTATTGACAGTTTAATATTTTACGTCAAGGTATTTAACGAGGTTATTGACGCTTCTCTCGTTCTATTAAGGTGTATAATGAGGTTACCACATACTTTCTATGAGAATATTTACTAAGGCAACTGACCCTTTACCTGATCTGTTAACACAAGTGATTGTGTCAACAAAACAGCAAATTTACTAAATGTCCTTACATTCAATAGTTTTCTTCAACATAAATTACTTGTTAATAGATTTTCGACAAGACTATGTATAAGCCTTCTGTAAGTTCAAAGTACGAAAAGTGTACATACTAATTTGTAAGTTGGAGACACGGACTTAGATCTACAACTTTTATTTTGTATTTTTTTCTTGGTCAAAACTTTGAAAACCACAGTCAGGCTTTCATATACAATTCACACAAGTGTCTTCTTCATAGATGTACATAATCAAAAAGTATTTTAAGACAAAGCCGTTAAAGTAAAAAATGAATTCATATAAAGGAACTCTAGAGTACGTTAGAGTTTATGAACATATAAGGAGTGTACTTATGTGTTAATGTGTCTATACGTACGTGTGGTGCACTTGTGTGTCAATGTTTCTGTACGTGTATGTAGTGCAGCTCTGTTTTGGTGTTTTTTCCGTACATGTGTGTAGTGCACCTGTGTGTTAATGTTTCTGAACATGTGTGTAGTGTACTTGTGTATTAGTGTTTCTGTACATGCGTGTAGTGCACTTGTGTATTAGTGTTTCTGTACATGTGTGTAATTTACTTGTATGTTGATTTCTCTGTAGATGTGTGTAGCGCACTTGTGTATTAGTGTTTCTGTACATGTGTGTGGTGCACCTGTTTGTTAATGTTTCTGTACATGTGTGTAATTCACTTGTATGTTGATTTCTCTGTACATGTAAGTAGCACACTTTGTGTGTTAGTTTTTCTGTAGATGTGTGTAGCGCACTTGAGTATTAGTGTTTCTCTACATATGTGTAGTGCACTTCTGTGTTAGTATTTTTTCTGTACCTGTGTGTAATTCACTTTTGTTAAAATTTCTGTACATGTGTGTAGCGCACCTGTGTGTTAATGTTTCTGTACATATATGTAGTGCACCTGTATGTTAGTGTTTCTGTAGTTGTGTGTTAGAGTTTTTGTTCATGTGAGTAGTGCACCTGTGAGTTAGTGCTTCTGTACAAGTACGCAATTCACTTATGTGTTAATATATGTTTGTTGTGCGCTTGTATGTTAATGTGTTTTTGTACAAATATGTAATTTACTTATGTGTTAGTGTTTCTATACATGTTTGTAGTTCAGTTGTGTATTAGTGTTTCTTTACATATGTGTAGTGCACCTGTGAGTTAGTGTTTCTGAACATGTGTGTAGTGCAGTTGTGTATTAGTGTTTCTGTACATGTGTGTAATTTACTTGTATGTTGATTTCTCTGTACATGTTTGTAGTGCACTTGTGTGTTAATGTTTCTGTACATGTGTGTAGTGCACTTGTGCATTAGTGTTGTTTTTGTGCATGTAATTTACTTATATGTTAGTGTTTCTGTAAATGTCTGTAGTGCACTTGTATGTTAGTATTTCTGTACATATGTGTAGTGCGCTTGTATGTTAGTGTTTCTGTACATTTGTGTAGCGCACTTGTGTGTTATTGTTTTTTCGTTACAGTAAGGATGTTAATGTGTAGTGCACTTGTGTGTTATTGTTTTTTCTGTACAAGTATGTGATTCACATACCTTGTATTAGTTTTTTGTACATATGTGTAACTCACTTGTGTTTTAATGTTTTGTACATTTGTGTAGTGAACTTGTGTGTTAGTGTTTTTCCTGTATATGTGTGTGTAATTCACTTGTGTGTTTGAGTTCTTGTACATTTGTGTAGTGTTAGATAAAAGTAACTGACATAAGCTGGGTTTCATATGTAGTTTTATTTAGATGTTTATTGTTCATATGTGTTCATTCGGAGTTTATAGAGTACAGAAAACTTCATCTTTCGTTTGAACTGTCTGAAACTTGTAGTTTCTCTCTCTCTTGACCTCTATCTCATTATCTCTCTCTCTCTACATATGTTTTATTCTTTAATTTATAATTATATATATATACATATACATACATTGGTTATATTAAGGAGGTATTCATACTAACACACTAGCATATTTTTATGTTATGTCTCATTTAGTCTGATACTAGTTTCATGTTGGAGATATTTCATTTTAAATTTAGTTAGTATTTATTTTAAAATTTTAGCATCGATATTTGTTTTAAATAATCTTGTCTTTTGTTAGAAGCTTCTTCCATCGTCTAAAGAATAAAAAGGACGAAAACCCTTATTAATTAAATGTTATAATTCTAACTGTGAGGGTGTTAGTGTAACTGTAATGTAATTCGTCAGCCTGAAAGAATTTTCTAAAAGTACTCTTCCGAATCTTTTAGAATCAGTAATTAATGTTCCCAGAGTTTATAAATGCAATAATTTTTAATTCAATTAAATAGTTATATCCAAAAATTTTTGGTAAAACAGAATATAGACACTAAGAGGTTTCAAATGAATTTTTTTCTGAGAAAACCCTTCTACTTTGAATGACACTTTAGGAAGCATAAAAGTTATAAAACAAATTAGCAATATATGTTCGTGACATAAATATTCTGAAGTAAGGTCGATTTTGCTTGAATAATAAGATGGTCATCAGGATAATCCTGGAAAATTCGTTACAGTTTTTCTAAAGTCAGTGTTTCTCTTAAATCTTGAATGGTCTTCTCCATATCGGTTTTCTTCAGTGATTTCTTCAGTCTGTTCCTGTCTGGAATTCGATAAACCAGTACCATTTGTGAAGCCTCTGGGCAGTGGGTGACTTAAGCGACTCACTTGAGAAAAGTCCGGGATGATGTTGTCAGATTCGAGTACACAGTGACCACTCTGACAAACCTGAGGGAAACGGGAAAATTTTATTTTAAATGACATTAACGAAATTCATAACTTATAAAAAACCTCCTCAAATTTATAAACTTGGGAAACAGAACACTGCCTCCCAGTCTCTTGATTATATTATAAAATAGTTAAAGCTGTTCAACACGTATGCGACTTATTAGCTAATATCACTTTGGTCTAACGTAAATTTACTTAACTTGTTATTTAAAATTCAGTGTAAATACATCTTTCATTTACATAACTCATCACATCGCTGATAACACCCATATGGAGATCCTTCAGCTGCAGAACTAGAATTATTGTCTTCATAAAATGTTTAACTCACCACATACCTGATCATCCACAAACGGATACCCTAAAGCTGCAGCAACTAGTGAGTTTGTAAACACAGGTCATCTAACTCATCACCATGTGGAGATTCTTCGGCTGCAGAACTAGAACTATTGTCTTCATAAAATATCTAACTCACCACATACCTGACCATCCACACACGGATACCCCACAGCTGCAGCAACTAATGTGTTTGTAAACACAGGTCATCTAATTCATCGCCATGTGGAGATCCTTCGGCTGCAGAACTAGAACTCTCGTCTTCATAAAATATCTAACTCACCACATACCTGACCATCCCCACACGAAGACCCTTCAGCTGCAGGACGGAAGGAGACACAATAACCGGAATGTTTATCTACACAAAACAGCTGGGAACACACTCGAGCATCTTTCTGGAAATATTTCAATAAGCATGTCTATTTATTAAGATTCAATTAAGATTTTCATTTGTTACTGATCTTGTAAATTATAAGCATCTTAGATGTTTCTTTAGTGTAATTTTTTAGACATGTAGTCCGAAGATATACATTTGGTAGTGAAATGATTGTTTTATTAATTGAACAAATAATTTTCTCAACTTTTCACTATCCTCACCTATGCACTAGTTTATCGAATCCACATCAAAACAGTTGGTGATTACAGATTAAAAGCATGCAAGAAAGTTGAGCAATGTATTTTCAGTGTGTTTTTCAATATATGAAACCAGATATTACAATAATTAAATAATCCTAGACTGGATATTGTTGTCTTACAGGAGCTGACGGTCCTTATTATAAATAAAAATGATAAATAGTTCAGTCTGAAAAACGTAAATTCAACAGACGAATTTAGCTTAAGAGCAATGGGAAGTATTTACAGTTGTCATCTGAATGATGAAAACTGGAAAATATCATTCATTTTCTGTTGAGCTAGAAAACTATTAACAGCTCTTAGCTCTTTAAAACACCAAACAAAAGCAAATAAGCTAGAAAACATCAGCCATTCCTAACTCAGTCATAAAACTGACGAATATTGAGTACTCATAGCTCAGACAGGAATCCATTGACCACTCGTACTTCAATAAAAAAGCTTGAATCTATTGACCATTCATAACTCATTCAAAAATTAGAAAACACCGACCACATTTAACTCAATCAGAAGGATGGAAACGTCGATCACTCTTACCTCATTAGAAAAACTTCAATCTACTGACCATTCTTAGCTAAGTCAGAGAGTGTGAAAAGACCGACCACTTTCAGACGATATCAATTTTTTTTTTATCAATTTAAAGGTTAAGACAAAAATAATTGTTCTCTTGGTTGAATATTGTGGTTAAAATACTTAGGCATAGTGCATATAAATATTAAGAACGTTATTGTACACTAATAACGTTGTTTTTAATATACATTTTCAGGTAGCATCTCACAAGATAATATTGACTCTGCATATTTTACTTCAAGAAGAAGAAAAATAATACAAATTCGATCTTTGATACACACTCGCACGTAAAATAACGCGTTGTAATTTACCAAACTTACAAAACAAGCCACTGTCCCTTTGTCTAACTTGCACTGTTCATCTAAGGAGAGCAGAGTTCCTGGTAGAACACGAGGCAGAAGTTCCTTTTCTTTAGGGAAATTGTAGACACACGAAGCAGTTTCGCCACTGAAAGAAAGTGTCATTAAGCCGTTATGTATCGAGTTTTGGAACTAACATGAACAAAAAAACCGTCATTAAATAGTTACATTTCAAATTTAGGTGTTAACACAAATAGTAAAATCAAGGGTTAATAAAAAATATAGATATCATTGGAAAGTTATGTTTCGGATACAGAGGTAGCAAGAACATTAGAAATATCATTGTTAACATGAAAAAGAAAGATGTCATCACATAGTAAATTTCAGTTCGGTGTTAAACATGAAAAGTACACTTTAAACACGGTACTAACAAATTGTTATATTATTTGTTCTTAACTGTAAGATTACAATAATTATCATTACTGGTCTCACAAATCATAAGCTTCTTAAATTCTTCTTTACTGTCATTTTTTAGACACGTGGGATAGTCCGATGATGCACTTGGTAGTGAAAATATTATTTTATTAGTATGCTTTCTTCACCAATAGTTAAACTTTCTCGAGGAAGTATCTTTATTAAGTTGTAGCACAACAAATTGAACATTTATGGGGAATTATCGCTGTTGAGTGGGGCAACAACTGTATATTTATAGAAAAATATCTTTGTTAACTTATGGATTAAGACGATGAATATTTATGGGGTATATCACTGTTAAATTGTAGGTCAAAATGTTGAAAATGAATGTGGCATTATAACATTAATTGTAAATTATAAGTTTAACCTTCTTTAGGAATCATGAATGTTAAATTGTTAGGCAACAGGTTGAAGCTTCATGAATAATCATTAAGTTGTAAGTTAACAGTTTAAACCATCTTGAAAATGAAACTATTTCATGAGTGAAATGAAACGTAGTTGGTATGTGATAATTAATTGCTTCAATGGAACAACTTTCAATTTTCATGATATCGGCTCAGCCTTCAAGAAAGACTAACTCACTTGAGGAAATGTTCAAAATCAGCCTTCAAAAAAGACTAACTCACTTGAGGAAATGTTTAAACTTGACCTTCAAGAAGGACTACCTCACTGGGGGAATTGTTTAAAATTCAGCCTTTAAGAAGGCCTAACTCACTTGAGGAATTCTTTAAACTTGACCGTCAAGAAAGACTAACTCACTTGAGGAAATGTTTAAACTTGACCGTCAAGAAAGACTAACTCACTTGAAGAAATGTTTAAACTTGACCGTCAAGAAAGACTAACTCACTTGAGGAAATGTTTAAACTTGACCGTCAAGAAAGACTAACTCACTTGAGGAAATGTTTAAACTTGACCGTCAAGAAAGACTAACTCACTTGAGGAAATGTTTAAACTTGACCGTCAAGAAAGACTAACTCACTTGAGGAAATGTTTAAACTTGACCGTCAAGAAAGACTAACTCACTTGAGGAAATGTTTAAACTGCAATCTGCTGCAAGGTGACCACAAAAATCCTCGTTCGGTGTGGCGAAGGTCACTCATGATAAATCCATCTTCCCATGGACACCTGGTAGCTCCAGGTCCCTTCAGGTAACTAGGAGGTGGAGATCCATCGTGTACACAGCCAAGCCTGTTGGAAACATATGTATATTTATCTCATTGCAGCAGCTAAGCTTCCCGGAAACATGCATAAATTTAGTCCTTAATAGTTAAGCTGCTTAGAAACATACATATATTTAGCTCAGTACAACTAAGTTTATTAAAAACATACTGCTTATTTAGCTCAACGTAGCAAGGCTGCCGAAACATATGGTAGGCTTAGCTTAACATAGTCAAATTTATTTGAAAATATGTGTGTTTGTATGTTTAGCTGCACACAGACAAACCTATTGGAAACGCATGTGTATATGTTTAGCTGATCACAGTCAGATGTACTGAAAATAAGTGAGCGTTTATATGAACGTGTATATTTAACTGAATAAAGCCAATAATAAACGCAGTAATAATTATAATAAAATCATCATAAATAATCCTAAATGAAACATATTATTTAGTTGAATACAGCTGATAGTTGAATAAAACATTTTCGATACCAAATATGTATAGTTAGAAATGTTTCAACTATGCTAAATATATATATATATATATATGTTACAATAAGTCACCTTATTCCTTACTTTTGGAGAAGAAAATAAAACAGTGTTGGAATATGAGTTTCTGATATTTTAAATCATAATTATAGTATTTTGGCACTTGTGTATAAAGTTAAAATCATAAATAATATTCAACG